AGCCTGGTGCAGGTCTACAATTTTGTTTCTGGTGTCCTTTGACAGCTCTTTGGTCTTGGCCATAGTGGAGTTTGGAGTGTGACTGTTTGAGGTTGTGGACAGGTGTCTTTTATACTGATAACAAGTTCAAACAGGTGCCATTAATACAGGTAACGAGTGGAGGACAGAGGAGCCTCTTAAAGAAGAAGTTACAGGTCTGTGAGAGCCAGAAATCTTGCTTGTTTGTAGGTGACCAAATACTTATTTTCCACCATAATTTGCAAATAAATTCATTAAAAATCCTACAATGTGATTTTCTGGAGAAAAAAAATCTCATTTTGTCTGTCATAGTTGACGTGTACCTATGATGAAAATTACAGGCCTCTCTCATCTTTTTAAGTGGGAGAACTTGCACAATTGGTGGCTGACTAAATACTTTTTTTCCCCACTCTATATTTTCTGTTGTATTTTTGACTTTATGTTTTGTTTTACCCCATATGTAACTCTGTGTTGTTGTTTTTATCGCACTGCTTTGCTTTATCTTGGCCAGGTCGCAGTTGTAAATGAGAACTTGTTCTCAACTGGCTTACCTGGTTAAATAAAGGTTAAATAAAAATAATAAAAAACTATTTAAAAGGCTAATTAATCATTAGAAAACCCTTTTGCAATTATTTTAGTACAGCTGAAAACTGTTGTGCTGATTAAAGAAGCAATAAAACTGGCCTTCTTGAGACTAGTTCAGTATCCGGAGCATCAGTAATTACAGGTCAGAATGGCCAGAAACAAATAACTTTCTTCTGAAACTCGTCAGTCTATTCTTGTTCTGAAAAATAAAGGCTATTCTATGCGAGAAATTGCCAAGAAACTGAAGATCTCGTACAACGCTGTGTACTACTCCCTTCACAGAACAGCGCAAACTGGCTCTAACCAGAATAGAAAGAGGAGTGGGAGGCCCCGGTGCACAACTGAGCAAGAGGACAAATACATTAGAGTGTCTAGTTTGAGAAACAGATGCCTCACAAGTCCTCAACTGGCAGCTTCATTAAATAGTACCCGCAAAACACCAGTCTCAACGACAACAGTGAAGAGGCGACTTCGGGATGCTGACCTAGGCAGAGTTGCAAAGAAAAAGTCCAGTCTGTGTTTTTTTGCCCATCTTAATCTTTTATTTTTATTGGCCAGTCTGAGATATGGCTTTTTCTTTGCAACTCTGCCTAGAAGGTCAGAAAGCAGCTTACTCTTTCCATGTCAGGTGTTCTGCTTTTGTCCAAATCATAAGGCATTTTCACCAGTTTACAGTGCATTCAGAACGTATTCAGACCCCTTCACTTTTTCAACATTTTGTTTACATTATAGCCTTATTCTAAAATGGATTAAAAAATAAATAATCTCATCAATACACACACAATACCCCATAATGACAAAGCAAAATCAGGTTTTTAGTAATGTTTGCAAATGTATATAAAATAAAATAAACTGAAATATTACATTTACATAAGTATTCAGAAATGTTTTGGTACCCTTCCCCAGATCTGTGACAATTCCTTCGACATCATGGCTTGGTTTTTGCTCTGACATGCACACTCAACTTTGGGACCTTATATAGACAGGTGTTTGCCTTTCCAAATCATGTCTAATCAATTGAATTTACCACAGGTGGACTCCAATCAAGTTGTAGAAACATCTCAAGGATGATCAATGGAAACAGGATGCACCTGAGCTCAATTACGAGTCTCATAGTTAAGGGTCTGAATACTTATGTAAATAAGGTATTTCTGTTTTTTTGGTTTAATAAATTGTTCAAAATTTATGAAAACCTGTTTTTGCTTTGTCATTATGGGGTATTGTGTGTAGATTGATGAGGATTTTTATTTATTTAATCCATTTTAGAATAAGGCTGTAACGTAACAAAATGTGGAAAAAGTAAAGGAGTTTGAATACTTTCAGAATGCACTGTATGTATTTCCATTACTGTGAAACCCCCTATCTCACAACCATGATTACATATTGATTTCATTACCTGTGACCAAATTGGCAGTGTTTACTTTTGTCATTAGTGCAGAAAAGTACTCTGTCAGTGGCATTTTGCACGCCTGCATCTCTATCGAGCCACCCTCATGGCGACAGGTACGGCCTTTTACTTACAGTATGGATTCCTCATCGAGTCGCCCACTTTTGAACGCGTCATTAACCTTTGCCCTCTGGTAATGGCATAGTTCAAGTCACTAATTATGGTTTGAAAAGAGTTCACCATGCTGGCGAGGATCAATCTGCCTTGTCTAATTAGCCTTAACTGGGCACTCAGTCACTATTGACTGGTGTTACTGTGGTGAGGAGAGGGCTAAAGAAACAAATAGAAGAGCTATTGGTGCCATACAACTGGCTCTTCAAGTAGCTGTCCAGTGTTTCCAGATTTCTATGAAATATTATCTATAATTAATTACAATATGAGTGAAATAGTATTCCTTCCAAAAATTGTTAATTAGGTATGTTAAAAAGCAGCTTTTCTCTTTTGAATGTTGTGGGCATACCCCAACAACAGAATGGTGTGGGCATATACCTGTCAATAAAAATATTCATGACCGCTGATTGGCCAGCTCAGCTAATGAGCCAATGAGTAGCTCTGCCAAAAACATGACATCATCCTCTGTTTGAGATACAAGTTTGAGGTGGGGTTTTTAAAGTGTTTTTTCTCTCATGTATGCTTTTGACCAGTTGTTGACGAGTCAATAACATTATTTGGGTATGAGTTAACAGATTATGAGCTTTTAAAAGTGAAATTTTCACTGGACAGTTACTTTCAGTCCTATTGTAAAGGGTGGCAATATGAAAGTTGGCAGTAGTTAATTTTGTGCTGTAGACATTATAAGGATGTACATGTCTTTCTCTAGGGCAGTAAAGCTGATAAAAAGATAAGATAAGGTCCAAGACTGAGGGGTTGTTGGCAGTAGCAAGGTTAGATTTTATCTGTATGATGGTGGGATTGGGAAAGACTGACTAGAATAATAATTATATTTGTCCTATTTCACAGATGTACAAGTGTGTATTGGAAATGTGTTTTTTGCATATCCCAACTCCCCCTGAGAGTAGGGGTCGGCCATTATCAATGGCAACCCTGGAGCAATTAGGGTTAAGTGCCTTGCTCAAGGGTACATCGACAGATTTTTCAACGTGTCGGCTCGGAAATGCAAACTAGTGACTTTTTTACAATAGTAATTACTGGTATGTACCTATGGTTTGTATAGCATTACGAACATTGGTGGTATTACGTAACATCATTGTGTTCATTGGCTTTGCCAAGAATATTGTCTGTCAAATCTGTTATTGTGATCTGATTCAGTGGAGGCTCCTCAGAGGAGGAAGGGGAGGACCATCCTCCTCAGTGAATTTCATAAACATTTAAATGGTAAAACATAAAAAAAAGTTATCCTTTTTAGATAAAATATAATCACGTCACCAAATAATTGATTAAAACACACTATTTTGCAAAGAAGGTCTACAGTAGCCTCAACAGCACTCTGTAGGGTAGCACCATGGTGTAGCCAGAGGACAGCTAGCTTCCGTCCTCCTCTGGGTACATTGACTTCAATACAAAACCTAGGAGGCTCACGGTTCTCACCCCCTTCCATAGACTTAGTAATTATGACAACTTCCGGAGGAAGTCCTCCAGCCTATCAGAGCTCTTGCAGCATGAACTGACATGTTGTCCACCCAATCAAAGGATCAGATAATTAATCTAGTACTGAAAGCATAAGCTACAGCTAGCTAACACTGCAGTGTATAATATGTGGTGAGTGGTTGACTCAAAGAGAGAGAAAGACAATAGTTGAACAGTTTTAAACAAATTAATTTCTTCCAAAATGAAGGAGAAGCAAGAGAGAAATAGAGAGCGAGTGTCATTTTTTTTCAGTTTCACTTACTTAGCTAGCAAATGCAGCTAGCTAGTTTAGCCTACTGAAACACCCTGCTCAAACAGAGGGATGCTATGTTAGCTAGCTGGCTTTCCAACACAACACTGGAACTCTTCCAAGTCAAGGTAAGCTTTTGGTATTACTAATTTATTTCCACCAGGGCCCGCTGGTGTAACTGCTTACTGACTGTACACTGTAACATTACTGCATGGTTGTAGCAGGTTTACTAACGCGTTAGTTCTATTAGCTATGTCACCTCAAATATGTCTCTCGACCTTTGTGCACCTACGTTGTAAACTTCATTCATAGGCTAGGTTGTAGCAACCTAATGATGGGTATAGGGAAAATTTGAGTATCATGTAGTAGCCTAAACCTATCGCTGTTACATTGAACTGGGTGAATGGAATATGAATGAGAGTCATCCAATATGCTGTAATAGAAATAAGGCCATGCTCATGAAAACATTTTTTGTCCTCCCTCATCTTAAACGGCACTGACCGCCACTGATCTGATTGATGATCCAGGTTCGACTTTGCCTGGCTACCCAGACTCCAAACACTACGCCAAGCCCTCCGCAATGAGGCCGGATCTGAGTACCTCCCTGCCGATTTCTGGAACGCAAGTACATTCTAACCGCTCTGATTGGTCCCAGAAACTGATGGGATGGGCCAGAGTCAGAACACACGTGGGTAAAGCAGCATGTAGAAAATGTGTCATTGGTTTTGATACTCTGATGTTGTTTTGTACAACACCCCTCATGTGGCCATCACCACAAACAACTTAAATGATGGCAGTCTCAGACTGAAGTATGTAACAAACATAGAACAGCGGAAGAATTCAGTTTGAGTTGTCAGGCAAGGTTCGACTAAGGAGGCCCTTTTCAATGAGGGCATGCGGGGTCAGGGATGGAGGCTTTCTATCAGAGAAAGGTGTTGAGTTGCCCTTTAAAACAGAGCTATTTCCCTCTGCATCCTCCCTCGGTGGGTGGCGGGAGTGGGACCTCTGTCTCTAACCGAAAGACAGCCACGCCAAGAGGTGAAGCGTCGGGTGGAACAATTTAAATTAATGACACCATCTCGCCCCCAAGCATGACATGTGTGTTTTGGTAAGATGACGCCCATGAAGGGGGAGTTCTCTGAGACCCCCCTGCCTCTCCCCAACCACCCAGCCATGGAGGTGTCTCTAGCTATTTTTTGTCTGTTCGCTGCTTATGTAAGGTCTCCTGTCTCACACTGATTCTCCCCATAGGAGAGGACAAATACATGTAGATGCAAATGAGCTGCCAGGGCCTGGAGCCAGAATAAGATGCTCTCTCTGGTCCCATTGTCCCACAACCATGTCAAAAAACACATGTATTTGATACAGTTATCCTCCCGAGCAGGGTTCAGTAGCTTCATAACACATTCATAACCCATACATACAGCATTTATAAGCAGTACATAAGAAGTTGATATTTTAGCTGTGTTTAGGAGCGCAAAAATACTCTTACATAATAGTATGTTTTCTGAACTCCGACAAGATCAGTGAATCAGTCTGCAGAACTATTTGCTAAGTGTGCGTGTGCGTGTGTCTGTGTGTGTATGCGTGCATGCTTGTGTGTGTGTGTGTGTGTGTGTGTGTGTTTGCGTGCGCATAACCTCCCGAGTGGCGCAGTGGTCTAAGGCACTGCATCGCAGTGCTAGCTGTGCCACTAGAGATCCTGGTTCGAATCCAGGCTCTTCTGTAACCGGGAGACCAATGGGGCGGCGCACAATTGGCCCAGCGTCGTCCAGGGTAGGGGAGGGAATGGCCGGCAGGGAGGTAGCTCAGTTGGTAGAGCATGGCGTTTGCAATGCAAAAAAAAATAAAAAATAATAGAATAATGTATGCACTAACTGTAAGTCGCTCTGGATAAGAGCGTCTGCTAAATGACGTAAATGTAAAATGTAAAACATACAGTTGAATGACCCTGTCTAGACAAATAGATTCATTATGGTCAAGGTCACTCCAGAATTGAACATCGTCCTGCCAGGTGCAATGTGATGGATTCAGAGGCTTTAGTTTAAGCCCATTGCCAGTCTGACTGAGCTTCTGACACATTATGTCCCTGTATTACCACCACAGTAACCAGTACCAACTTGTGTCATCATAGCCCATTAAGAGATACTACTCTTATCTAATCAATTAATCTGCAATTATCACAATTGAGTTGACCAGTAGCAGCAAATAGGTTATAAAACAAATTGAATGAGTATACTCTTTCATCTAGAGCTGCATATAGGCTGTGTTTACACAGGGGGGTAAAATATATATAATATCAGAATTGGTCTGCCTGTGTGAACGCAGCCTAATCATTAGGAGCACAACATATTTTACTGGGCGAGATGCCAGGGCTTCTCCTAGAATTTTCCATAGTTCCACATGTTTTGGAAGAAGCAATCTCTCGTGCACAGACTATCTTAACATTTGTCGAAGGGAAGGATGCGATGAGTAACGAGCAACAGTAGTTCCGGTGCTTTGGTTTTCCATCACTGGTTATTTCGACGTATCAGGTTTGGGTGGTGCTTAATTTGGGCGTGGGGGTTTCAAGAAATGAAAGGGGCATCTGACACAATTACATAATATTTTAGTTCTGCGTTTCTGAGATTAGGGAAGAATACAATTTTATTTTGTCAGATTTCTGCACATCTAACATTAATTCAAATAAAGCATAGTATGAAATTCCATGAAGATGAAACAAATGTACTCCCCCAAAAAACTATTTGAGAGAGCTTAGAGAGAAGCTTAGAGAGAGTGAGCTGGGTAGAGAACACATTGTGACAACGCAATCGTCCTTGAGAGTAGAGTTAGGTTATCCCACGGCTCATCCAAAATCATACACAATGAACATGGCATGCACACACACACACACACACACACACACACACACACACACACACACACACACACACACACACACACACACACACACACACACAGCATCTGTTGGGTTTTCATCAGGATAATCAGCTGTCTGGATTCCCCTCCATAGACCAAATCTGGCACAGTACTAAAGTCAACCTCAACCTACAGGGAGCAATAATTAAAGGTATGTTAATGACTGTAATAACCATATCAGTGTACTCCTTTCATATCCCAGCAAGGCAAACTGTCTAATTCAATGTCCTCCTGTAGCTCAGTTGGTAGAGCATGGTGCTTGCAACGCAAGGGTTGTGGGTTCGTTTCCCACGGGGGGCCAGTATGAAAAATGTATGCACTCACTAATTGGAAGTCGCTCTGGATAAGAGCATCTGCTAAATGACTCAAATGTAAAATGTAGATGATAAGTCCTGAATCCTGATCGATGTAAATCCCCTGTAATACCTACTCCTGCCACTAGCTGTTTAGCATTCTTTATAACTAATGATTTACTAAATACTATACACAAGTTTTTACTGAACCCATACCTTTCTACTCAATAATCAAACATCAAATGTTTTGGAAATGTGTCTGTACCTTGGAATCCTGTAGATTTGTTCAGTTCCTTAGTAACCCTCATGTAAGAGTGCATCATATAATGTTATGTAACCTAATGTTACTCATTGACTGGTTTTACCTTGAACTCAGGGCATCAACACTATCTAGTCAAAATATGGTTGTGTGCTATGTGCACACCTCTCTCTCACGCAAAGTCCATGCTATGTGTGGTTGGGAGCCAGATGTGTCTGAAGAAATGTGGAGGTGTTAGCAGAATGAAAGGTCAAGGGTCACAGACAACCAGCTGACTAGGATGATGGTGGCATATGGTGACGGACACCAGACATTTACCCAGAGATGTCCCCACCAACCCACCTTTGGCCACCTGAATTAATATTGTTTTGCCCCATTTCACAAATAACAGCAATTAATAATCCTATGCTGTAATAAACAACCCATTAGTGATATTGCTTAAACTGATATCAAATAAGTTAGACATATTTACTTAATATTTGTTAGTGAGTATTGTAGTAAGGTCATTTCCGATTTGTTAAACAAATGTACTTTCACTATGAACATGACTTCAAATAGGTAAAAGAACATTGGGAAACCCTGTAACTATTTGCTTGTACCCTTGTCACATCGAACCTTTGCATCCCACGAGGACGTGGGAGACATCTCCATGTGACTCGGCACGTTTTTTTCTCCAGGAATCCAAGAATATATCCCACACTATCTCCCACCTCAAAATCAACCAATGAAAAGGTTCCACACACAAGGTTGAGTGGCACTATCTCACTCCCTCATGCTATCTCTTAACTCTATCTATCGTTGCCAGCTTTGATTATTTCTAAACTCTCCACCAGACTGCACCTGCCAGACCTGTTTGTGGATCATGCATACCAAAGGAAGTACAGAATGGTAAATGTTATTTTTCTTCATATTTCACACATCAGACAATATTTCCAGTTAAATTGATTGGTTTACTAAGCATAAGCACAACTTTGATGCAGGGATGACAGTGAATACACACATTTCGATTTGTTTCCCATAAATTATTAAACAAAAATGGAATTGTTACATATATTCAATATGTTTCTTTAAAACAAACATACTAGCAGTTATAAAGGCTTTATGAGGGACTTACTAAGGAACATTTGAAAATTTGAATCTGAGAGGAATAAACAGTCACAGAGAGACATAGACTGCAGGTTAGCAGGATATGATATTTATTATTCAGTCTTGCTTTTGAATACACACACATTCCGAGGGGGCCTATATCAGAACAACTTACAAGTCAGGTCACATGCTGTGCACTCAATGAATCCAAGAGGCTAAATCGGATTTCAATTGGAAACAGGCTATGTTAAAATACCACTCAGGGGTTGACAATCTGTGGAACAATTGCTTTGAATATGTTTCCTCAGGTCAGGCACCCCATTTCAGAAGAGCAGTGAGATCTCCTCACTTATTTCAGTCATTCCTCCCATGCCTCCATTGGTTTATTAGTTGGAGTTATTCCTGTTTGATCATAATGAAGGAAAACTAAACTGTTCGCTATTCGGATTTGTTGCGTTGTAACTTGTAATAAGGTGTGCACTTCTAATTTGATATTTATACATAAAAAGACAACATCCATAAAGTTTGTGTGAAATGTAATAGGTATTTTCTCTTACTTTGATTTTATGTCCCCCGTCAAAAGATAATATTTTATAACACCATAGAACCTTTACCAAGGCTTCTTATAAGTTGTCTTACACAATATAACCTTAGGTATATACTTTGGATATACAGTGCCTTCAGAAAGTATTCACACCCCTCAACTTTTTCCACATTTTGTTGTGTTACAGCCTGAATTTAAAATAGATTAAATTGAGAGTTTATGTCACTGGTCTACACACAATATCCCATATTGTCAAAGTGAAATTGTGTTTTTAGACATTTTTACTTGAGTCAATAAGTATTCAACCCCTTTGTTATGGCAAGCCTAAATAAGTTCAGGAGTAAAAATGTGCTTAGTTGAATGGACTCACTCTGTGTGTAATACTAGCGTTTAACATGATTTTTGAATGACTACCTTATCTCTGTACCCGACACATACAATTATCTGTAAGGTCCCTCAGTCGAGCAGTGAATTTCAAACACAGATTCAACCACAAAGACCAGGGAAGTTTTCCAATGCCTCGCAAAGAAGGGCACCTATTGGTGGATGGTGTATCAATACACCCAGTCACTACAAAGATACAAGAGTCCTTCCTAAGTTGCCGGAGAGGAAGGAAACCACTCAGGGATTTCACCATGAGGCCAGTGGTGACATTAAAATAGTTACAGAGTTTAATGGCTGTGATAGGAGAAAACTGAGGATAGATCAACAACATTGTAGTTATTCCACAATACTAACCTAACTGACAGAGAGAAAAGAAGGAAGCCTATACAGAATATAAATATTCCAAAACATGCATCCTGTTTGCAACAAGGCACTAAAGTTATACTGCAAAAAAAATTGCTAAGCAATTCACTGTTCAAAGCTCTTAGAGATTTACCCAGAAAGACTCACAGCTGTAATCACTGCTAAAGGTGCTTCTATAAGGTATTGACTCAAATCAAATCAAATGTTATTTTTCACATGCGCCGAATACAACAGGTGTAGACCTTACCGTGAAATGCTTACTTACAAGCCCTTAACAAACAATGCAGTTCAAGAAATAGAGTTAAGAAAATATTTACTAAATAAGCTAAAGTAAAAAATAAAAAGTAACACAATAAAATAACAATAACGAGGCTATATACAGAGGGCACCGGTACCGAATCAATGTGCGAGGGTACAGGTTAGTCAAGGTAATTTTTTTTGGGGAGTAAAGTACTAGCAGATACAAAGAGGAGCACAGTGTAAAAACAAAGGGGGGGGGGGGGGTTATGATTAATTCAATCAATCTTATTTTTGGGTAGAGCTGTTACGAATAAGACTGGGTGACCTACTGGAATCGTTCTTCAGCCTTAGACAGAGAACGATATGACTTGGTAATGGAGTCTTTGACTTTTTGGACCTCATCTAGGATGAAAAATATAGTAAATGAAATTTTTATTAATTTCAATAATTTAAAGTTCCTTCTCAATAAGCATACTGGCTTACGAGTTAAAGCGATTCGTGATGAGTCTACATTTGTCAAGGTATTTGGTCATGGGAGGTAAAATACTATGGCTAAAAAAACCAGCTTACCATTGGCACAAGGCATTGGGTAATGTGTAGATGGTTAAGGTTGGTTTTGGCAATTTTTAAGTTCAGGCTGAAACTAATGTGTGGATAAGAAGGGGTATAAGAGACTTCTGAAGGCACTAACATAGTTGCGTCATTTTTCGATGATAAAGAATATTGTTCCTAGAAGGATACAGTCAGTATCTTCTTCATCTATTGCAAGTGTGTTTTAGTTCTATCTAACCAATTATAAAGTTGAGCAATACCTTACTCCATTGCCCAATTCACTTAATTGCCCAATTCAAAATTAACTGCTTGTCACTACCACCTAGGGACTTGTTCTGAAAGGGATATAGAAGGTGTTACCAATATGGCAAAAGAAGATTCACATAGTCTATCAGAAGGTAAGGTGGAACTATTACCATATTGCTCATACCTAATCCTTTCATATCCACATTACATTTTGAGTGGTAGTGACAAGGGGTTAATTTGGAATTAAGCCTCTGTCTCTACATCAGGGGTAGGCAACTAGATTCAGCCGCGGGCCATTTTTATCGGAGCGGATGGTTGGGGGGCCAGAACATAATTAAAATAATTTATGCACTGCAAATTGACCACAACTAAGCCCAAAACTAGATTTGTATTTGAAAATAACAATCATTTCATGCCTTGATTACATGGAAGACACGATCACGTCTCTTTTTTTATTTGTGGGAATGCTTGGGAACAGATTTCCTAAATTAAACACATTTTTTGCTGAATTCCTGGTGATTTTTTTACCAAAAAGTAAAATCCCCCCCAAAAAACACATTTGCGGGCCGGTTTTGGCCCGTGGGCCACCTGTTGCCAACCCCTGCTCTACATGGTGTGTAGTCAGGCAGTCCATTTAAAAATAATGACATGAGTGTCATCTCTCCTAGCTGTTGCTCTTTTGAAGACTACAATCAGACGACAGAATGGCTTCTGAGCCGGACGAGACACAGGCCTAAGATCGCAGTTGTGTGTGGCTCTGGCCTGGGCCTTCTCGCCGACGGTGTTACCAACAAACAGACCTTCCCTTACGCAGATATCCCCAACTTCCCCGTCAGCACAGGTGAGATGACGTCACTGTCACAAACATATAATGTGTCATGATAATATTGATATGAGACTAATTATAGTATAATGTAGTCTCTACCCAGCAAACAGGTGAACCTGTGTAGTGCTCTTAATTATGCCTGCACAGCTGAGGAATTTACATTTTCCTCAATGATTCCGCTGACACACCATTGCAGCTAAGTAGTTTATTATTTACATGCTGAAATGCATTTGGGATTTCTGTGTGTATTTGTCAAAATGTTGCAAGGCTTAACAAATCATAACCAGCTAGCGGGAAAATGAACCAAGAATGAATAACTACGCCCCATGAATAAAATATTATAACTTGAGTAAAAATAGGCCCTAATATCTGCCACATGGAATTCTTATTATGATCTCATGGACATATTTAAATATTCATCATGTGGAGGTGAATATAAAATGTCTTCATAAGTGCTCAAATGTTCCTTTTCCTATTATCATTAGAGTAAGGTGGGTCTTTGTCTTTGCAGAAAAACCATAGCCTCCTGTCTAGTAACCAGCTTTTGTTGTGTCTTTGGACAACAATACCATCATGAATAAACAAATGAGAAGCCTTGAATTAACATTATTTGACCATGTTGCCTTCATTAGACAGAGCTGACATTTTTTAAATTACCTTCAATTCAGGTTTGGTTTGTGTTGCAGTCTTCCCCATTATCTTCTAGTTAATTTAAGCTTGTCAGAGAGAAGCCCATTGAAAACACTAATCGATGTTCAGTGCAGCACTAGCCTTCTCGTTTTGGTCAATTAAATGGAGAGCAAAATGATTCGCAAACATTCTAAATGAGTGTGATTTCAGACAATACAAATATTGTTGTTTGCCTGTGAACAGGTGCTATGCTGTGGGAACCTGTAACAGCAAACAAATACAGTTTTATTGCCTATCCGATAACCTTTAAAAACATAGGGCCAGATTAAATCAAATCCAAAAAACATAACACATAGCAGTATCCAAATAAAGGCTTTGATAACCAGTATGATAGTGCAATCCTTAGAAATACATTATTTGCTTGGTCACTCACACCAAATCTTTATAAAACGACATCCAGTTACACTCATTAAAACAAGTTAATGCAGCAATGGAATGGATTCTGAAGTAACTTCAATGGAATGAGTAATAACTGGCACCATCCTCCCCCTAAACTTCCCTCTGCCATCCATCAACCTCTGACAGAAGAGAAGAAAGTCAGTGTTGTAATGATTCAGGTCCTAGCTCACTACGCAACACTTTTCAACAAATCGTCTCTGACAAAACTCAGGGTCAAATGAACATAATCTCCACACCACCAAACATAACTCTGCTGTAGTCTCAGCCATCATCCCCACTATAAAGAAGGGTACTAAACAGACAGTTACAGTTGACATTTGACTGTGGATGACTTACACTCATATTTCAATAGCACAGATACTGTTCCTAAACTGCATGCTCTCCTGAGTATTACAGTGCATTCGGAAAGTATTCAGACCCCTTTACCTTTTCCACATTTTGTTATTTTAAGGCCTTATTCTAAAATGGATCAAATTAAAAAAATTCCTCATCAATCTACACACAATACCCCATAATGACAAAGCGAAAATCTTTGCAAATGTATTCAAAATAAAAAACAGAAATACCTTATTTACATAAGTATTCAGACCCTTTCCTATGAGACTCGAAATTGAGCTCAGGTGCATCCTTCCATTGACCATCCTTGAGATGTTTCTAAAACTTGATTGGAGTCCACCTGTGGTAAATTCAATTGATTGGACATGATTTGGAAAGGCACACATCTGTCTATATAAGGTCCCACAGTTGACAGTGCATGTCAGAGCAAGAACCAGGCCATGAGGTTGAAGGAATTGTCTGTAGAGCTCCGAGACAGGATTGTGTCGATGCACAGATCTGGGGAAGGGTACCCCAACATTTCTGCAGCATTGAAGGTCCCCAAGAACACAGTGGCCTCCATCGTTCTTAAATGGAAGTTTGGAACCACCAAGACTCTTCCTAGAGCTGGCCGCCCGTCCAAACTGAGCAATCGGGGGAGAAGGGCCTTGGTCAGGGAGGTGACCAAGAACCCTGATGGTCACTGACAGAGCACCAGAGTTCCTCTGTGGAGATGGGAGAACCTTCCATAAGGACAACCATCTCTGCAGCACTCCATCAATCAGGCCTTTATGGTAGAGTGGCCAGACGGAAGCCACTCCTCAGTAAAAGGCACATGACAGCCCACTTGGAGTTTGTCAAAAGGCACCTAAAGGACTCTCAGACCATGAGAAACAAGATTCTCTGGTCTGATGAAACCAAGATGGAACTCTTTGGCCTGAATGCCAAGCGTCACGTCTGGAGGAAACCTGGCACAATCCCTACGGTGAAGCATGGTGGTGGCAGCATCATGCTGCGGGGATGTTTTTCAGCGGCAGGGACTGGGAGACTAGTCAGGATCGAGGGAAAGATGAACGGCGCAAAGTACAGAGAGATCCTTGATGAAAACCTGCTACAAAGCGCTCAGGACCTCAGACTGGGGTGAAGGGTTCACCTTCCAACAGGACAACAACCCTAAGCACACAGCCAAGACAACGCAGGAGTGGCTTCAGGACAAGTCTCTGAATGTCCTTGAGTGGTCCAGCCAGAGCCCGGACATGAACCCGATCAAACATCTCTGGAGAGACCTGAAAATACCTGTGCAGCGACACGCTCCCCATCCAACCTGACAGAGCTTGAGAGGATCTGCAGAGAAGAATGGGAGAAACGTCCCCAAATACAAGTGTGCCAAGCTTGTAGCGTCATACCCAAGAAGACTTGAGGCTGTAATCGCTACCAAAGGCGCTTCAATAAAGTACTGAGTGAAGGGTCGGGATACTTATGTAAATTTAATATAAACGTTCTTGTTTTTGTTGTTTTTTTGCAAAAATGTAAAAAAAAAACTGTTTTTGCATTGTTATTATGGGATACTGTGTGTAGATTGTTGAGGGGAAAAAACAATTTAATCCATTTTAGAGTAAGGCTGTAACGTAACAAAATGTGGAAAAAGTCAATGGGTCTGACTACTTTCCAAATGCACTGTATATAATCTATGTGTGATCTATGTGACATTATAAACTGGGTGGTTCAAGCCCTGAATGCTGATTGACAAAAACATTTGTTTTTACTGTTCTAATTACATTGGTAACCAGTTTATAATAGCAATAAGGCACCCCAGGGATTTGTGGTATATGGCCAACATACCATGGATAATGGCTGTATCCAGGCACTCTGCATTGCGTCGTGCATAAGAACAGCCCTTAGCCGTGGTATATTGGTCACATACCACACCTCCTCGGGCCTTATTGCTTAAGTATAGGCTTTGTGATCTGTTCTATTATTTATTTTCAACTGCAAACACACTTATCTCATTCATATTCCATAACCATGCATTTTGAGTATCTACTACAGCATATGGAGGGTAGGTCCCATTGTATGTATGTACACAGTGGTCCATGCAGAGCGTATTTCAATACAGCAGTATGAACAACACAAATCAGACATCTTCTGTGAAATGAAACATGAATAAAACATCAATTCACAGTTTGTATTTTCTAACCCTACATGAGACATGCTGTATCGCTAACCTCCTGTGACAGAATATGCTTGTGTTCTGTGTCTCTCGCAGTCCCGGGTCATGAGGGGTGTCTGGTGTTTGGTATTCTAAAAGGCAAATCCTGCGTCTTCATGCAGGGAAGATTCCATCTCTACGAGGGCTATTCACTCTGTAAGGTAAGTCCAAATACAGTGTCTGACCGATGAACAGGTAATAATATAATAATATATGCCATTTAGTAGATGCTTTTATCCAAAGCGAATTACAGTCATGCGGGCATACACTTTACATATATGGGTGGTCCCAGGAATCGAACCTACTACCCTGACATTACAAGATTCATGTTCTACCAACTGAGCTACAAAATCAGCTACAAAGGACCACATACATTTAGAGACTCCCAAATGTTACACATATCCATCTATATTATTTTGGTATAGGCCACATTTTAAACATCCAACATTGACATTTGCTTTACACTACTACTGTTTCTACTCTTTTACCTTGCTGCTCTACCCTTTGAGATCAGGGAAACATCACATTCAACCCAGTCTCTGCTCATCTATAACCCTTACACATTCCTGTTACGGCGAGACAAATATTAATCACCAGTGTGTGCGCTTTACTTATATTAGCCATCATAAAGAAGGAAAAGAGTCAAACTAAATGGGTCCTTTCTTTTGGAACGCTATGCTAAACACTCTCCATTGTGGCTCAGCAAGGTCATGTTAACTGATGGAGCACTCCTCCTATTTGTATAACCGAGAGAGGCTGGCAGCTCCGGCCTTGGCCCATTAACTTTATCTGTCACAATCAGGGAACTGCTGACTCTGCACAAGGCTGTATATTTTAACAAACAAAGTTTAGGACAGGGTCGCCACTGATCTGGGCCCTGTTTCTTAAAAATATCCCTTGCAGCAATGAGGTCATTGTTGGGTCATTCGGTGTGAATTGAACAAAATGCCAATGAAATGTAGTATTTTTCAGAAACTAGTACAAAGAAATGTAATTTAAGAATGAAGCCATTTTCTCAAACAGCTTGTAAGGATGTTGGGCCAAATGGTGAGTGGATGAGAGGTATGTACCAGCAGGCGTTTATGGCACCTGTGTTGTGACACTTGTCTTGTTAGCAGCAACTTTCTATATGTAGGTTTTTGCTTGGTCACGACTTACAGCCCCAGTCAACCAGTCAATCAGTTGTAGCACTGCATATATATGATGTCACTCCAGAGTTAAATGAGTCCTTTCCTTACACTGTTTTGATTAAGACAGCATAAATGCAACCCTCTCTAGACCCTCTAGACCAGGTCTGCCCAACCCTGTTCCTGGAGAGCTACCGTCCTGTAGGTTTTTGCTACAACCCTAATCTAGCACACCTGATTCTAATAATTAGCAAGGTTGATAAGATTAATCAGGTTAGTAACACCTGGGGTTGGAGCGAAAACCTACAGGAGGGTAGCTCTCCAGGAACAGGGTTGGGCAACCCTGCTCTAGACCCTTGTTACCCTTGGTAAATTGCTATGGAATCTTCTGTTGTCCGGAGTGGCGAGGGGAATTCTCAGAGCAATTGTGACTTTGACAACATGACATGATGTATTAGAGTCAACCATCATGGCTGCCGGACACCGGCACATTAGTGATGCACAGGCTTTTTGGGCTTTCACTTAGGGTCACCACATTGTACCTGTCAATCAATAGCACTAGTAAAAAAAAAAGACATTGCTCATTCTCATCCTTGATTCTGAATATTCCAGACAATAATTAGTTCCTATTGACCTAGATTGCATTGGACAGCGAAAGTATAGACATATTATCTAACAGTCTATGAGAACAGCAGGAGACAGTCTAAAGATGTGTAATTATGATGAGATATGGAAGCAGCATCTCTACCTCCCAGGTCCTAGACAGTAGACATGTTATCATGTTCTCATTGACTGTGACCACAGAGGAGGGCTTAGGTTGCAGCCTCGCCATTGGACATTCAGAAGTATCTTACACCGCAAGAGGCTTTGGTGACAGTTTATAGGGAGAGAGAGAGAACGACAGACCAAATTATGCCCTCTAGATCAATGGCTTATCACCTATGGGCTGTTTCTCAATTCACCTGTCAATTCTGTTCAGATCAGAGTAGATGTATGAGAGGATCAAAAGGAGAGGAAGTAACTTTACACTGTTGAGATGCAGCCCATAGGTGATCACTGTCATGGTTAGGGTTGCAAAGAGACAGTATATTACTGTGAACTTTCTACGTTTACCATTAAACTACCAGAATTTTGGTATCTTTCAAGGATGTTATGTAATCTATCACAAGACATCTAGTGGCACTTTTGGGTACTTCAGATTATCAAAGGTGTCTGTAACAATCTCTGGCCCTCTGTGTGGCCATATCACATAAGATTTTACAATTTAAAAAACAATTGAATGACAAAGCTGTAAACATTATCTTAAATATAAACCATGAACTTAGTGTCAAGTGTGGCTCAGTGGGTAGAGCATGGGTTGTGGGTTCGATTCCCATGGGGGACCAGTACGAAAAAGTACGAACATTTATGTATTTACTACTGTAAGTCGCTCTGGATAAGAGTGTCTGCTAAATGACAAAAATGTAAAATGTAGTGAATACAATTGGTATTTAATATGAGGGTTTCAGCATGAAATATCATTTATATATTTTTTACAAACGTTTATTTATTTTACTATGTCAATATGTATTTGTTGTCAATGTGTTGCCGTCAAACTGGTTGCAGTTGTGAAAAAAGTAAATAGTTGGAAGAGTTGCAGACTTCATTGAAAATAATGCCATTGTTGATTAGATGCTTTTTTCATTAATTCGGCTATTTTCTCCTGAACCATATGGTCTATCTACTAGAAACTCATGGACAATATGGACACCGATATAATAAATGAATACTTTATATGAATTAAAAAAAAATGTTATTCAAGTATAAAATACCAAAGTTACAGTACATTTTCTGTTAATTAACAAAATTACAGAAAATTCCAGTAACTTTGGTAAATTACCGGTAGCTTTGCAACCCTAGTCACGGTAGATAGGTTTCCTATCTTGAGGGCTGACTGAGCATGCAGCACAACGTGTAAGGTGTTAGAGAAGAACAGGTGTGATTAAAGTGGATGTTGGACCGCTTTCCTATGGCTCAGTACACCAGACAAGGCGACAAATCGATTTCTGCTAAATTTACCAGAGCACATGCAACCGATACAGCTGTGGTTTCATCCTGCCATCTGCCCGCTCTCTGTCTGTCTCTTTGTCTTTCTCCCTGTCTCTTTCTCCCATTCTCTCCCTTCTTTTCTCTCTCTCTCTTTCTTAACCACCACCACCACACAATCTCACACTCTCCACTCTCATCTCCACACACCTCTCCATGTCTTCCCTGTTCTGCTCCCTTTCTTTCCCAACATTATCAGACAGCAGTCCAGTATGTGTGACAGGGACACCAGGGTGTCCATACACTCCATCAGCCCAGGGACACATCCATGAGTCATTGTATCTGACACCTCCGACACCAACATCACACCACTCTCACAAGAGTTTAGGTAAAGACAAAACAAATACAGACATGTTGCAGCGAGAATTCTCAGTCAATATCTAGAAGGAGTGGTGATGCTACTAGTTTGCTACCAATTGTATATCTCCCTTTTCATACTCCTATATTTTATGATACACTTTTTTATTAATGGTTTTTTTTACATCAAGTGCCTGGTACATAGCAGAAAAGCAATATGGTTTTGCTTTGTGGAATCGCAAACACACTCACACAAGTGCTCTCTCCCTCCCTCCCCCCTGATTTGTAATCAGGGTGTGAGCTGTTATCTCTCCTCTCAGTGTGTCGGTAGGAGATGCATGGCAAGGTTAATTAGCTGGCTTGCTTCGTTAGCCCTCCCTGACCTCCTCTCTCTCTGTGAGTGGTGCCTTTCATACAAACTGCTAGCATGCAGCTGGAGTTAGCCTTGGCGCTAATTCTGTATTGTATAGTGGCTGTTATTGGAGCCTGCTGAGTGTTATTGGCATGCATGTTTAATTAAGATAAACATGTATACACACAAAAACATCACATATCCTATGCCACACCCAAATACACATGGCAGGTGAGGCAAGGACAGACATGGAGGGAGGGAGGCTAGAAAGGTGATCTGGCATTAATATATTCACCAATTGCCACTCCTAGCTTGCAAGCTGACAGAAATGTGCATTTTCATGAGTCACTGTACACTCACACACTGTTTATGGATGTTGCTGGTCTGACTTACATGTAGGATCTTAATTTGATACAGTTTGCTACAGCAGGAAAATAACAAGGCATTTAAATTCTTATGTGGATTATATTTAATGCAAAGAACAAAAATAGGACAGCACTCTGGTGAATGATCTTAAATAAAAATATATTTATTGCAGCACTCAAATACACTACAAGTTAAACATTTCCTGCATTTCAGTAAAGTTCTCCTGCAACACAGTGATCAAATTAAGATCCTACATCTGTACCCTATTTGGCATTTCTATATCAAGATCCTGAATTCATAAACCCCCCAAAGAGAAGTGAGTGTGACAGAGTTACAAGTTGTGGTTGCATGCTTGTTGCAGATTGTATGCACATCATCTTGTGTATTATTAGTGCTGGACCAAGAATGGTCCAAGAGAGGTCAGAGAATAATACAAACATTTTATGTCTAATTTCTCATCTTCCCCTTAATGGTACAATAAAGTGTTTGTAACATTCTCCTCACCTCTCCCCTCCTTTCCTCTCTTCTCTATTTATCTCTCCCTCCCTTTCTCTCTAACTCCCTTTTCCTGTTCACTCGTCCACTCCTTTCTCCTCCCCTCCTCTATACTTATATATTTATCTTGCTTTCTCTCTCTGACTCTCTTTCCACCTATATTTATCTCCTCTCCCGCTCCATCTCCCTCCTCTTCTCACCCAGGTCACATTCCCGGTGCGGATCTTCAAGCTGTTGGGCGTGGAGACCCTCATTGTGACTAATGCCTCAGGGGGCCTGTGTCCGGACTTCAAAGTGGGCGACATCATGCTCATTAAGGACCATATTAATCTGCCAGGCTTCGCCGGCCAGCACCCTCTGTGCGGCCCCAATGATGAACGGTACAACCAGAGACAGGGAGACAGAAAGATTGAGGGAAGAAAGGGGAGACGGGTAGAGAGGGGGAGGTAAGGAGAGAGGGGGAGGGGTGGGGGAGGGCACGGCACCCACTGTGCAGCTCCAATGATGAACGATACAGGCAGAGAGATGGAGAGAGGCAGGGAAGAGGGACGGGAAGAGGGACGGAGAGAGGGGTGGGGGGTGGGGGAGAGTGGAAGTGGTGGAGGGAGAGTCAGGGAGAGAGGGAGAGTCAGGGAGAGAGGGTGAAAAATGTAGTATAGTCTGAAACACGAAGGTGGGAGGAGAGAAGGAAAGAGAGAGGGTTGCAGTCAGTGAGAGAACTGAAATACTCCCAGGAAGGGGAAGCAGGGGGAGGGAGAGGGAGAGGGAGAGGGAGAGGGAGAGGGAGAGGGAGAGGGAGAGGAAGCAGGGAGAGGGAGAGGGAGAGGGAGAGGGAGAGGGAGAGGGAGAGGGAGAGGGAGAGGGAGAGGGAGAGGGAGAGGGAGAGGGAGAGGGAGAGGGAGAGGGAGAGGGAGAGGGAGAGGGGAAGAAATACATACTCTTCAGGTGATCTATCTAGCTCATTAGGTTACATGGAACCTGTAATACATATTTTCCCTTTACAGCTAGGAGGTTGTAGATTAATGACAAATATATTGTATGTCGACTAGTAAAGTGATTTCCAAGCATTGTGCTCAGAGAGCTACAGGTAACTGCCAACATAATGGAAACGCTTGAGTAAATGAGGAATACAAAGTATATTGAAAGCAGGTGCTTCCACACAGGTGTGGTTTCTGAGTTAATTAAGCAGATAACATCCCATCATGCTGAGGGTCATGTATAAAAATGCTGGGCAGGCTATTATTTTGGCTACCATGGCTCTGCCCCAATAGGATGACAATGCCCCCATCCACCGGGCACGAGTGGTCGGTCACTGAATGGTTTGATGAGCATGAAAACAATGTAAATCATATGTCATGGCCGTCTCAGTCATCAGATCTCAACCCAATTGAACGGTGCCTGAGACAGCGTTTTCCACCACCATCAACAAAACACCAAATGATTGAATTTCTCGTGGAAGAATGGTGTCGCATCCCTCCAATAGAGTTCCAGACACTTGTAGAATCTATGCCAAGGTGCATTGACGCTGTTCTGGCTCGTGGTGGCTCAATGCCCTATTCATACACTTTATGTTGGTGTTTCCTTTATGTTGGCAGTTGCCTGTATTCTCTGTATACTATCATATTACTGTATTATATTACAGTATTATTCATATTATTAATAGTAGCAGATTATTGGTAGATTAGGAGCGATGCATTGCAATAGTATTTGCTCCATATGTCCCATCGATAAACCAGTATTGATTGGCTGTGCTCTGCTCCAGGTTTGGGATCCGGTTCCCCTGCATGTCAGATGCCTACAGTAAGGACCTGAGGAAGCTAGCTCTGGATATCAGTCATGAGCTGGACTATACCAACTTTGTGCGGGAAGGGGTGTACTGCATGGTGAGCGGGCCCAACTTCGAGACCATCGCTGAGGCACGCATGTTACAGGTCCTGGGGTGCGACTCTGTGGGTGAGTGGAGACAACACAGGCCTACGGCTACAACCACAAACAGGTTTTCATCACCAGAACTGGCTATGACTCGAGCAACAAATTACAGTTAATTTTAGGAAATGGTTCAATTTAAGTTTAAAGGGACAATAACTAGATATTTAATACAACTTGTGTTTCAAAATGCTGGATCAAGATCAAGCATCAACTCAGGAAGGGGATCTTTTGTCAGAGATCCAAGTGACCACCAGCCCACAACACGGTTTAACGGCAATATAAACACAGACGAGGCTTGCTCACTCTCCTTTTCCCCTTTGTAGTTCATTAACACTGCTCTAATTGGACCTCCCTCATAAAAAAAACCCTGCTGAGCTCGTTAATAAATGATGGTGCTAGCTCTGCTAACAGAGCCGACTCATGCTAATTAGCTTAGCGATTAGGTCAACAGATAGACCAACAGGCTGCTACATGCTGTGATGCTAATTGGTCTGATGATTTGATCCAGGATCAAAATAAAACACAAATATCCGTAACAATGTACAGTGGGCGGAACTAATGCATGACCTCTTTCATTATCCACTCTCCCTAAGAACATGTATTTTGCCGGCTTATTACCTTAAGAGCTTGTTGTTGTTGTAGCCAAGCGATGACAAAGCAAAGCCATTTTGGTTCCTTGTTTTGGTGACCTATTGCGTTATTACTCCTGTGAGTGTTATCTTTAATGTGAGAGTCTAATTCAGGCCTGCCAATCCATCATTTCTTATATGGTGTTTTTTCTTTACCATGCTTGAGTTTCAGCTTAGTGGAGGCTGTGTTTGAGTGTGTCCTTTGGTTTAATAAGTATTTTGAAATGTTATGCTTTTTGGTTATGCCTGTAAAACATGTTCCGTCCTTGCATTCGTACAGTATGTGCCTGTGAACGTTGTATCCATGTTTTTAGCATGGTTTTAATGATGTGTGAGATCTGGCCTGTGTTCCCATAAAATACTAACAGTGGGAATGGGACCAAAGTTCAGGACCAAAGCTCAGGGAATGGGACCAAATCTCAGGGGGCAATACACAGAGGGGGTTATTAATGATGCAGCATACTATAACCACCTCTCCACACACACACATACACACACCCATGACCCAGTGCCACCCACATCCCCCGTTGGATGTTTTTCAATTTCCATGTATTTTTTCTCTGCCCCTCCCCTCCCCTCACCCTCCCACCCCTCTCTCTGCCAACCTCTGCTCCTGTCCCCGTCTCCACTCCCCACCCCATTTCCTCTACCCCATAGGCATGAGTACGGTCCCAGAGGTGACAGTGGCCAAGCACTGTGGCCTGAGGGTCTTTGGTCTCTCTCTCATCACCAACATGGTATTGATTGACTTCTCTTATTGCTGTATATCGTTGTATGTACCTTATCTGCACACCCTGTGAACAGCTCAGCATTTCTATTCTGTCATCTGTTGACTAGTTATTGAGTATGGTACAGGAGCATCTTGATGTATTTTTATTATCATTGTGAAGGTCTCCCTGGACTACAGCCGTGAAGAGAAGGTGAACCATGAGGAGGTCCTGGAGATCAGCAAGATGAGGGCGGAGCATCTGCAGATGATGCTCAACACGCTTATCGCCCGTTCCCACCAGCTGGACGAGGGTATCAACGTCAACTGAAGGAGGGGGGATGGAGATAGAGAAAGAGACAGGCAGAGAGACATACTCAAATGTTGAAGGACACTCTCTGTCCCACACAGACACACACACAGAAATGTACACACACATGTGCATACATGCACACGTACATACCATTCACCTTGAATATTTACATAAATCAACCACCCATGATGAAAGAATTTAGTCAATTTTTCTAGTTTAATAAAATATTCTAGAGAGAGAGAGAGAGAGAGAGAGAGAGAGAGAGAGAGAGAGAGAGAGAGAGAGAGAGAGAGGAGAGGAGAGAGAGAGAGAGAGAAGAGGAGAGAGAGAGAGAGAGAGAGAGAGGCATTTCATGACAAATAGTGGGCAAAAAGATATACAACTGAACTATTGTACAGATGATGGGGCTTTTCACTTCAAATTCCTCCTGCTATTCAGAGCTAGTGACAGAGAAAACACGTCCTAGATTATTATATTTATACAGTGCTTGCTTTTTTGTTATTATCATGTTTGGTTCCCCTCACTGTTTATAACGAGAATAAAACAATTATTTCTGTGCGTCATTGTGTTTACCACATAACACAAGTCTGTTTCATAGAGTTTATGAAAAACTACTATTTTCATGCTAAACAATTAGTGTTACGAGTTAGTATGACTGCAATAACAGTGAGAGCTCATGTAGAAATGATGTGTTTGTTGTAAGAATTTACACTGCAACAGAAAAAACGTACAGAAAAACTTGGTATCTTGCCAAAGCAAACGCTCTGTTCACTGCCTTGCCTTACAGTAAATCGAAGTGCATTCAGCTATAAAAAAAACACTGCCATCTTTCACAGGGCTCCTCAGCCAATATGGTGCAGTGGTACCTTCTGCACTGTAGTGATAAGCTTGGAGAACACTGATGTGTTCGTAACAAGGTTTTCCCATTGTAAATATATAGATACATATATAAATAAACATACAGTAGATATAGATCATAGACAGACTGTTATTGTGTTTATTTGCGTCTGTGTGTGTTCGTCAGTGCATTTGTGCGTGCGTGTGAATAGTGGGGCGGCAGGTAGACTAGCGGTTAAGAGCGTTGGGCCAGTAACTGAAAGGCTGCTTGTTCGAATCCCCGAGCCGACTAGGTGAAAAATCTGTCGACGTGCCCTTGAGCAAGGCAATTAACCCTAATTGCTCCTGTAAGTTGCTCTGGATAAGAGCGTCTGCTAAATAACTAAAATGTAGTACATTGGTGTGTGTGTAAAAATGGGGTAAAACAAGGTTAAACCAATCTATTCAGGGTCAGGCTCAAAGTAACCATGTGGATATAACCACATTGGATATTCAGGAATTCTGACCTTGTACATTGGCTAGTAGTAAAGGAGTCTGTAGAAGAAAAGTAGCCCTCCTCTAAGACAGTGGTAAAGGAGAGTGTAGAAGAAGAGTAGCCCTCCTCTAAGACAGTGGTAAAGGAGAGTGTAGAAGAAGAGTAGCCCTCCTCTAAGACAGTAGTAAAGGAGGCAGTGCTCAGCTTGAAGAGACAATAATCTCTCATTGAAGAGACAATTTTCTCTCATTATAGACAAGACCAGGGGTGGCTGATTCTGGTTGTGGAGGGCCTTAGTGTCATAGGTTGTTGTTACAGTCAGTCCAGGGCTCGTAGCCACAAAGTGCCCGAGTAGGATTGTGATCTAGGATCAATTTAGTCTTTTAGATCACAATACATTTGATTATATGGCCAGGTGGCTTTGTGTATATGGAGCCTGAACTAACACATCTGATTTAACTAATCATTATTGTGAGAGGAAACAAAAATAGCTCTCGCCACCTTATTTGTGAGTATTTAAAGTTGTATGCAGAGCAATACTTTACAATATTGAAACAGTATGGTTGACCATCTTTATTTAGACCTGGGACCTGTTTAGCTGAGTGTATTATAATGTAGCTAATACACTATTAGTAAACTAATCATAATATGAATCTCCCAGTGCTTTCTGTCATCCTTAAGACATTTACATTTTAGTCATTTAGCAGACGCTCTTCTCCAGAGCGACTTACAGTTAGTGAGTGCATACATTTTCATACTGGCCCCCCGTGGGAATCGAACCCACAACACTGGCGTTGCAAGCGCCATGCTCTACCAACTGAGCTACACTGGACTCAGACATCATTAAGATGGATCAGTGGCTTTTCACACCCTGTTCATTTAGAAACTCCGTTATAAACTCATTCATGCTAACCTGGCAGGCCAAACAAGGCCGGAGGAGAAGGCTTTCGATCTAAATCGTCCCTTTCAATTTTCATCCTCACATGAGAAGGAATAGTGGCAGTTTCCTCCTTGCCTTCCAGTCATTACCAAGGAATACAAATGTTCTCCAGTATTACCAAAGACCCCATTAAAATCGGCAACATGAATAATTAGCAAATTATTGTAATTACACCAAAACTATTACCTTATAATCCAAAGGGGAAGTTAATTTATTAACAGGCTAATGTGGCAGTTTATCAGAGAGAGAGGTGATGTTTGGGTGTTTTTCTCCTTTCTCTGTGTTGATTGCCCTACATTGATGACTTGTATTGATGCTAAATGAGTTTGGTGATGTACAAAAATGTAAGCAGTATTTATTCAAAAATATTCAACAGGACATGCTACTGCATTCTGTCCTTTAGAATGTCAATCAATCAATCAATCAAATGTATTTTGTAAAACAGTAACGGCCTAGAAAAGCAGTAGCACATTGTTAAGGAAAAACTCATTAGAATGAAGCAACCTGGATATGAACCAAGCTCAGAGGGAAGGCCCATCCTCTTCTGGCTGTATGGAATGGGTTTTTTGGATTATGATAAGGTAACGCCACAAATTAGCAGAACACTTTCCTCTTGATAAACAAATAAATGTCTAACATTAACATCAGTATTCAGATTATATTCAGAATCATTATGGAAGCCAATTACCTTAAATCAGTAGTAATATTGTAATGAAATGTACATTGTTCACAATTAATCAAAATCCTTTCAAGGCAGACAGACAATGTTTGTTCTACAGTGCATCAACAACAGAGTAATTACCATTAACACTAATTACAATCAAATCTTATTCATTATTCTCAGACTTGGGTTAATGGGACATTTCTTTGTTTTCTTATCAATTAGCTCATTAGCCAAGTCACTTAGTACACATTTTGATATCTGCTCAAACTTGAATTTGGAATAAATTGGAGGGTAAGTGCAAGGATAAGTGGAGGATAATGTTCCAGTTATGCTTGTATCTTAAATCAGAATATGACCTTCAACGTTTACGTTTGTGTAGCTTGGTTTCCTTACCCTGTAAGCAGTCTATGGACAAGGTATGACAGCAATCCATGCTTTGGTTTTGTTGTCTAAGGTTTCAAATGCAAACTTACACTACCGGTCAAAAGTTTTAGAACATCTACTCATTCAAGGGTTTTTCTTTATATTTACTATTTTCTACATTGTAGAATAATAGTGAAGACATCAAAACTATGAAATAACACATATGGAATCATGTAGTAACCAAAAAAGTTTTAAACAAATCAAAATATATTTTATATTTGAGATTCTTCAAATAGCCACCCTTTGCTTTGATGACAGCTTTGCACACTCTTGGCATTCTCTCAACCAGCTTCATGAGGTAGTCACCTGGAATGCATTTCCATTAACAGGTGTGCCTTCTTAAAAGTTAATTTGTGGAATTTCTTTCCTTCTTAATGCGTTTGAGCCAATCAGTTGTGTTGTGACAACGTGTGTGGGGGGGCCTGATTCATGCAGTCTCCTCTGAACAGTTGATGTTGAGATGTGTCTGTTACTTGAACTCTGTGAAGCATTTATTTGGGCTGCAATTTCTGAGGCTGGTAACTCTAATGAACTTATCCTCTGCAGCAGAGGTAACTCTGGGTCTTACATTCCTGTGGCGGTCCTCATGAGAGCCAGTTTCATCATAGCGCTTGATGGTTTTTGCGACTGCACTTGAAGAAACTTTCAAAGTTCTTGACATTTTCAGGATTGACTGACCTTCATGTCTTAAAGTAATGATGGACTGTCATTTCTCTTTGCTTATTTGAGCTGTTCTTGCCATAATATGGACTTGGTCTTTTACCAAATAGGACTATCTTCTGTATACTTGGTCTTTTACCAAATAGGACTATCTTCAGATCAATAAAAGTAATCTAATTGGCTCTTCCTAATTTGTGCCAGAGAAGGCAGAGCCTAACAAGCCAACTTAAACCAAAAGTATGTCTGTTAGTTAGGTATCTAGCCATCCCATTTAGGCAGGGATTCAATCCAATTGCGGGTTATAGAAGGCAATTTCCGAATGAGCCGACATATGCAGCGTTTACCGTGAATGGGTTCCCTGCGAACGCGGGAAAATTGCTGTTAAAAGCCACAATGCCTATAACCCATGATCGGATTGAATCCCGGCATTACTTTCAATGGTCCTTTGTAGCTCAGTTAGTAGAGCATGGCTCTTGTAACACCAGGGAGGTGGGTTCGATTCCCAAGACCACCCACACGTGAAATGTATGCACGCATGACTAAGTTGCTTTGGATAAAAGCATCTGGTAAATTGCATATATATAATTTATTATAATGGTCTATAAAGATTATACAGAAGTCATGATTCATTAAATGGAAAGCAATAGGGCTGACAACGATTTCTATTGCTAGTATGGCCAGTCACCTATCTTGTCAATAGAAGTTTGCGCCCTCCCTTGAGGAACACCTCCATGATGATGCCATATTGCCAAGTATACCAAATGTGTGTCAGATGCTGTAACCTCCACAGTTTTCCCCTGAGTGTCATACTGCAAGTGAAGCCACAGCATGGGCCAACCAGATTTATGCAAAAAGAGAAAATGCATCTCACCAGTGTGACTCCGCAGGAAAATGCTGCCACTTTGTCAAAGCTCCCTGGGGCTCTCGCACCTCCTCTGAGCTGTCAGATGACCCAATCTATGGGCCGAGGTTAAACCCTCCATTGAATTACCTTTAACCCCCAAGGCCAAGGGCATCCTGACGCTACAGTCAATCTTAGTCAAGCAAAAAGCCTCTCTTACTCTAAGAAACACGCCGGATGGTGCATGGAGGGATGAACAGGGGGCTCGATTCAATCCGTAGCGTGGAAGATCTGCCTTGTAGCTCGATTGACATTTAAAGGCAATGTTACCATAGCCGTGGGAACTAGGGGTGCTGAGGGTGCAGCCCCTGAATTTTTAAAAAACTAAATTATAG